GTGGGATTGACTGTCACGGCTGAAAGGACGAGCATGTTTGGTGTGACGGGGGATTCGAACCCGCGACCCGCAGATTGCGAGACGAGCACCCTAACCACCTGGCCATGCCGGGCCATTTAACACACGTAAGTCACATATATATACTGGTTAACCTATCCACAGATTTCACGTCGGGGTAACATATGCTGTTGTAAATCATATTATTTTTGGTTTTGTGATATTGTGGCCAAACTTCCTACAATTACTACAGATATGTATATACTTACGATGTGTGGTAATGTAGTTAGGCTGGTAGAATTTCAGTTTGAGCTAGCACATCAAAAAAATTTTAGTTCCCCTGTATTTGAAAGTTTCACCAAACCAATACAAATCATAACAATGAGTTGATTTTTTTAACAATCAGATCTTTTTTTAATTGAAAAACAAATACTGTACAAAATGTATGCAAGTCTAGGATAAAACGCTAGAAGGAAACACACACAACGAACAGTAACAAGCGACTTACCTCATATAAACACACCACGATACGATGAGCAACCTCAAGGGTTAAAACGTCGGAGGTCATTTCAAATGCCATTTTAAAATCCATTTTTCCCTCTAGAAATTCTGAGCCATATCTGTCAATGTCTCTGTAAAATATAAATTTAAGAATTACAATTGGATTCAAAAACCAGTTCTAATTACTGCTATCAAGGTAGAATTGTCTGAATTTTGCATACTTACTTTTGAAACGCATCTAATGCTTTACTCTAAACTAGAACCCAGAATCTGCACGTACGATGAGACGGACCAACAATTTTTATTTGCTATAGTGATCATTAATTAATTATGTTCACCTAATCAAATATTTTCACATGAGACTTGTGGTTAGTTGGAATAACTGAAGATAGTAATAATTGAAAACACTAATTTTGATCAGTTAATTAGTTTCCTCAGTCATGATACTAATCAATTAAGCTGACAAGCCTCAAATTAATTGAAAATAATAAGCATAAATCATAGTGGCAATAATTTAATTACTTGGATATTTAAAAACAGTAATAACCAGAAACATACACAAGATGGACTATGGAAAGCCAGCAGGGAGTAGTACTGTGCTTTTGACATGATAGCCTTATGATGGAACCTTTTGGAATGGAAATGATATTGGAGGGCTATTGTGAAGATGTAAGGTTGTTAAATAGAGAATTACATGGTAAGGCTCCAAAATTATTTTAATATAACATACTCAATCTCTGTATCTGCTATACTGCACTTAATTAAAACAACTTACAGCTTTCATCCACTGCACTTGGCTTTATTGATAATCTATTATATGTTAACTATATACCTGCTGGACAAATATTGCATTACAATTACATTCAGTTAGTTTGTAAACCTAAATAAAAGTTAAATGTCACCAGTTAGTGCCAAAACACATAAATCCTTAATGTTAAGTCAAATAACAGTAGCCTAAAAGATTTGGATACAAAGTCAGATGTCAGCTGGCTGAAATACTTGAACCAAATTATAACCTATATAGAAAGTTTAGAAAAACTGAAAATGTTTTATCAGAAACATAAGAGGTAAGATGAAAGTATGTTTATGTACTCAGTTATCAGTACAGTGTTGGAGTGATTTTTCAGGTATATGTAAAGCGGGTTGACCCACATCTGTCATCAGACAGAGAGACAGCAAATAAGAGAAGACTCAATATCATTTATATATACTTTACAAAAAGAAAGAATTTAATAGGTGAGGTAACTTCAATTATTTTAAACAGTTTTTGTAATAGCTAAAAAATATTTGTTAACAAAATAAAACATAATAACAAGCCTACCTAACTGATCTTTTTTCTTCTTCTGAGGTTTAGGCCATAAGAAAAAGTTAAATTTTGATAGAATAAAATTTAAAAGCTTTTTTTTTTGTTCTATATCTATTAAAAGCAAAAGGCTCAATTTAAAGTATATGTAGATGTATTTCAAAAAAAAAGAGAGAGAAATAGTACTGTATATATACATTCTGTCAAATAGATGACTAAATAGTAACTTTGATATCATATGATGACACTTCAGGCTTAGATAAAATGTGATGCCACAGTCTGACCTATATAATTTCAATACAACCCATTAAAAACACTAGTTTATCTACTGTGACAATGTTGAATATCAATATTAGCTTTGTCTAGTTCAGATTAATAACGGTATACTAAATATACTTTGTGCATTCCTAAGAACTGCTTTTTTAAACATTATACAAAAGAATATTCACGTACATCTCGATCAGACTCAACAAATGTTGCAGCTTAGCATCCATGGATGTCACATGTTTACACATCAACAACATACACATTTAAAAGGTTAGGCTCAACATCATTCACCGTCACATGAACGACTGTTATGATAACATATGTTTTGTCCTAGTAGCATAGGCCTACGAAGAGAAATTTGTTCACAATTATGTAGTATGTTGTAACTAATATACAATACTATAATATAAGGTATCACACAATTTATGTACACTAAAGAGATGTGTAGTGTAATGGGTGACAGCTTGATAAAAGATGCCTATATCTGAAAGAAACAGATAATGGTGCATTGATTTCTCATGTATTCATTGTTAATTGTGACATAAGATCAAGAAATACAATTTCTTAAAATGAAAAGGATGTGTTCAATGAAGAGAGAGAGAACTAACCTATAGTGATCTGAGGATGATAACCACCATTAAGCCTAGAAGAAGGATGAGATGAATAAAGATTATTGTATCGTGGTGATGAAAGTCAAAGCTACATCTTCAGTTAAGTGAGGAAAATATTAAAAATCAGTTGACTGTTAGTTGATACTTCTGAACAGTGAGTCTTGTCCAGAGCCTGATAAGAAGAATCTGAAAAATTGGCAGATCCCTACAGCAACCTGGTATCATGATATTCTTGGTCATACAAATTCTATATTTAAACATCATAAATCTGGTCGGTTAGATAAATTTTCTACAGACTCCACAGAAACACTGCCTGCTTTAATTTCAGATATACATTACATGGTATGTTCCAAACAATATGCTATCTGGTACACTCTTCAACTATCTATGAAGCAAATATATCGTGAGGAATAACCTATGAGTGATCTTGCGGAACACCCCATCTCTAGTATATGTGACAGTAAAGAACAGTGTGCGTTTAGTGGCCAAGGAAGGTGTCAACATGGCCTTACAGTACAGGTTTTAGTACAGTTCTAAGTGATTCAAGTATACCTGGACAGGCACTATTTGCCATAAAGTAGTATCCAGATCGAAACATGGGATAGGCTCCTGAAAATTGTACATAAATAAAGAAATAAAACTTACTCAGTTATAGTTGCACTGAAGTCTGAAGAACAGCAACAGGTGGAAGACGATAACCCGACGAGGAAGAAACAACAACATGATGCAGATAGTGAGAGATTAAAGTAAGTTGAGTGGTCCACATGCCCACTTGAAGAGTTTCCTCCAAAGAACAATGCAGATGAGATGACAGGGAAAAAGTAAGGTGCCTGACGGGAATACACCCGGAATAATTGATGGGAAAAAGGAGACAAGGAAGAATAAGCCAATCGAACAGTTATGATGGAAAGAAGCCATACGGGCAATATAACAACAAAGAGCACGAACTGGACATAGAAGTCTCTCTGGATCAGACGTGGAATAGAGTTGGGAAATGGAAGGAAGGGAAACTGGCAAGATATAGGAATATGGAGATAAGCATTCAACTCCATGGTAAAATGAGACAGCACCAAGAAGTAATTGACAGATCGATCACAGGCTGCCAGTCTCCGGTTTTCTTAGAGACCACAAACAGCCTGGAATAAAACCCTAGAGAAGGGGGAACCACAGGTTCGATGGCATTTTTGAGAAAGACGATCCTCTACTGCCTCAGACAGACACTGACATATGGTAGACGAGGCAACAGAAAGGAAACAAGGATCTGAGACAACAGTGGAGGGGAGAAGACGTTGATGACAAGTCCCTTGGATAAAACCTCAAGGACCCATAGATCCTTGGCAAAGTCTCACCATAGATGAACAAATTTGGATAAATGAGCCCTCACCAGACCACAACCCATGGAGTACTCACCGATACTGTTAGTGGCGTGACACTTGGCATAGAATAAATGATGAGAAGGTCCCCCAGTGGAAAGAACAGGTAAGGGATGGGAAACAGAAATACGGGATGAGACAAACGATCAACCAATGAGGAAAGAGTTGATTGCTGTCTCACAGATTCCACTCAGGATTCCAAAGTCACTGGAACATCTTCAAACACTGACCAATGGAGAAATGGGGCCAAACATAAGTCCCTAAGAAAAAGAAATGGCAAACAAACTTGGGACAAAACCGTGTCTCTCCCAAAAAAATCCCAACAACAGAGGAACCACGTGTGTAAAGAAGGAGCCAAAGTCAACAAACATGCCAACAAGAATGTAATTAGGGTAATGCTTAAAAAACCCTCAGGATCTTGGTGGATCACCTTGAAGAAAAGGTGCATCATGGACAAGTACTGTAGGATAAAAGTTAGGGTAAGACAAAGGTGAGAAAATTGGGCTTGGAACAAACAAACAGGACAATCAGAGTCTGCCCCCAAACAGGTAAAATGTATTCCAGTTGTTCAGAATCAGATGATGGTAGGCTAAAGCAAACTGATCCAAAACCAAGAAGGGCAAGACATGCCAGCACCCTCATGTAACTGAGATACAAAATGCTCAGCATGAGCCCCAATATCAAGAAATAGTGGAAACACAAAATACTGAGAGGAAGGAGTATCATGTAACAACAAAGGGAGAGAATTATAGGAAATTAGGGAGAGGGATGTAACAAAACATACCTGGGAAATCATGTCCAAAAAAAGCTGTATTAGGCCTAGCAGAAGAATCCAGAGTAGGAACTTTGGAAGACACAGCAAATTCAAGTGGAGGAAAAAGGATGTCAAATGATTCGTCATCCCAAACAGGTTCAGCTTGTTCAGGAGGAAGTTGGGCAACAAGTTTTTATTATGCTGTTATACAGCATGAGAAACTAATTTCTGTAGCATTTCTGCTCCAAAGTCATTTTAATATTGAAATATTACATACCATGATAAAGAAAAATAAAATTCCCTTTATTTTGATATTTTTTTATACAATTGTTACTCTTCAGTAAATATTAGTTTTTCTTATAATGTCATTATAAAATAATAGTTTATAATTTTATTATAGTTAAAAAAGTATACTGCTCAGTGTCCTAAATAACTCATCTACATGACCTCTTGGTGTGAAGATCAAAGTACAAAAAAGTTAAGGTTTCAACAATTGTGTTTAAGGAAAGGAGAACAAACATCATTTCTCTTTTATCTCGATGTAAAATTAAATATAACACAAAAATTAATAATCCGATCTCATTCCTTTATGCCAACCAAAGTCAAGGGTATAACAGTTTATCATAAAGGAGACTAATGAAAGTAAACTCTTTTGGCCCACCTATGTGAGAGATGCCCTGGTTTCTCTTCTACATAAGAACATTTACAAGTCATAAAACATTAGATTTCATCCTGCGATTTCTTACTCCAGCATATCCATACATTAAATAAACACACACTAAAAATAAGCAATAAATCTAATCTTAATAAAATTCTTGAGCACATCTTACATGACACCAAACTCAGCTGCAAGATATGTCACCATGATCTTCATCACCAGTAAGATAAAAAAGTCTATAACTTCTGCAAGAAATCGTTTCCAGAGAGGAGGTACATAAAACTCTCTTCCAACACCTGCAATCAACACAGATGTGTTAAAAAATTAGTTGCCTTTCAACGTCTTAAACAATACAAATTACTAAAATACAATTGGTACACATTTTTTTTTACTAGTTATAACCGTAAATTTAACAAGTTAGTTTCACAATTAATCAATCAAAATTTTTGATTCATCAAAATTAGTGTTTCTGATTATTACTGTTTTCAGTTATTCCAACTATTCAAATAAACAAAATATTGTTTGTTTACTGTTAAGCATAAAGCTAAATAATTGGCTATCTGTGCCCAGCCCAATTTTAGCCTTATAAGTTTCATTTATATTTCAAATTTGTTCAGCTTTGGTGAGTCTAGGGTAGAGGGGCTTGTGACACGAGGGTCTTGGGTTAAATTTTCATTGCCACCAAACTTCCTTGACTCGTCTTTTTCATGGCAAAGCTACTAAGGCTATCTGCCACTGTCATTAATTTTGAATTGCTGACTAGAGGAAAGGTAAGTGGCATGCAGCACCAGCATATATATATAAATATATATTTATTTATTTATTGTCTTTTTTAACTGCTGACTAGGGGAAGTTGGTAAAAAATACATTCCAGAAGATAAGTAATAAAGTGAAAGATAGTAAAATATCAACGGAATTCAAGCTCAGAGAGCTACATTGTTATGTACATTTGATTCTTACATAAAGCAGTGAGTGTTTGACAATTTCACCAACTTTGGAAAGGAGATTACAATCAATTGAGATGTGGTTTTACAGAAGAATGTTGTGAATATATCATGTGACATGTGAAGAGGTACTGAGGAACACACAGAGATGAGATAATAACAATTAGAAGAAGACAACTCCAGTTCGTTGGTCACATAATAAGAAAAGACAAGCTAGAAAATTTAGCAGTAACAGGAAACAAAGTAAAGGTAAGCCAAAACTGATTTACATCAGTAGACTCAGAACATGGATGAATGTGAGTGAAGCAGAACCATTGAAAACAACAAACGATAAGAATCTGTGAAAGGCCATGGTCACTAATGTCCCGTCTAGACATGGTGCTTACAGATAGAGAGAGACAACGAAACTGGCTGCACCAATCACCAACTTCTGTTTTTTTCTTGCACATACCACAGTTGAGAAACACTGTACTAATCAATTAATGGAGCCATCAATTAATCAATTAGAAAATACCAGTAATTTCCCACCTATTACTATTAGGTTTAAACGGTGGACCAACAACTACCGAGTCAAAAAAGCTTCATAAACTTTAATTTTATTTTCATCCTAAAATAACAAATAAGTATCAGTCATCCATTTCTTAAAAAATATCAAAAACACAATCTCAATAAGCACTTGGTATGATGTATAAAAAATCTATAGTTTATGAAATGTTTCTTTATAACTTCTCATTGCATTATAAATACAAAATATCATTATTAAAGAATTCAAAAAAGCTAATATTTTTAAACAAAGTATCTGTAAATGCTTTATAATGTGCTGGTATAAATTTATAAAGCGTTATTTGATATTTATTACCTTTGATTTAAAAGTTCTTTCACATAGATCTACATGCAGTTGTTTCTTTCACACACTTGTTGGCCAATTTGTATTACAAAACTCACCTGAAACATCTAGTCAGTTTATGCCCAAAACTTATGCCTATGACCTTTTCTTACCCAAATATTTAATTTTTTGAATTTAACTGGAAAAAAAATGGATTGCATGCAAGAAATCACAGATAAATAGAAGTAAACAAAATCCCGATGTTTTTTACAATTCTCTCACGGATAAATAGAAGTAAATAAATGCCTGATGTTTTTACAATTCCCTCAGAAAAAAAAGGAAATTGATTTCCTCAATATTATAATTAATTCATACATACAGTACTGGAATTATGGAAACGTACATGAGTCACAAACAATAAGTAATTGCAACTAAATGGTCAATTTTTTATCATTAATACAATACATTATTAAACAACCCCCACCAAAAAACAATTAAGTTATACAATGCACTAGTACTTGCTTTAAACAGACACAATGAGAGTGCTGGGTTTGTAAGTGTGCACAATAGTAAAAAAGTTAAGGCTACTGAGACATGTCCAGTTCCACTAAAGGTTCCAGTCTCTAATAGATTTGAGCCTTTGGTTACATTTAATGAGGAACAAAGAGGTTTATTTATGCAGTGGGAGAACTATCTCCTTAAGTATAGTTGTAGGAGTACAGAAAGGCTATGACTACAATTTGCTTGCCATGTGCTAAAGAATAGGACATTATAGTGTTGACAGTTTTATTGTTTGTATCAAAGGGCAAATTTTTTTTTAAGTGCATATAGGAGTAAATAACACTGGAATCTATAAATCAGAAAAGCTGTTTAGTAAATATAAGGAACTTCTTCAGCAGTTTAGGGATAAAAAGACATGGTTTTATTTACACAGGTTAGGTAGTAGGAGAAGCTTGCATAAATAATTAAAGAAAGTATCCCATTATTTGAAACTTGTTTATTGCCAGATATACAGAATATAATGTCTATGATTACAGTATTTAACCTGGAATCATCAGGTACAACTACTTACATATGCTCACAAACATGGGAGGGAGATTTACATTCTTTAACACAGGCAGAAACTTAACTTTTGGTTTCTCCAACATAAAGCTTGTCATAATGTTCCCAACTTATTTGATATATGGAACTAGAAATATCAGAATCTTGGTTATTGTTGCTTTTTTTTTTATATAAGTTGTTTTCTGCCAGGAAGAAATACAAATTGTACAAAGAAGATAATATGAAATTTATTTACAATTTTTCCCCAAAACATTCTGATTTAATCTGACACTTTTGAGACAAAAGGAATTGTGGAATAAATAGGGTATTAATTATTACTTGACTTGTACTGCGACTTCACTTCAAATTTTTTATTAAATTTAAAGAAGACTTTGTTAACAGATTCCAGAGGAAAACCGTTTTGGGTTATTAATTCTATTTTAAATTTGTTCAGGTCCAATTGAAAATATATGTTACTGGAATTAATAGTCTTGATAACATGATACAAAATTCATACAATGTCTTATTTTTACATATAAACCTGTATCCTTATGATAACTGAAAGTGTGGAACTTATTATTATGTCTTTCAATGAGAACATAGAGAAATGGAAGTGTATGGCTTTCTTCACGTTCACTGATAAACTTAATATCAGAATGGATCAAGTTCAGATGTGAAAAGAACTTTTCAATGGATGAGGAATCATTAAAGTCAGAAGAGTGATGGATGAAGAGATGTGGAAATAGCTTGATCTTCAATTCTGATCATGAATATGTTTGTGAGAAGGGGAGCAATGAGATTACCCATGTTTCCTTCAATCTGATCATAATTGAGACCCTCGAATTGAAAGTCGTTGCATGAAGTGGTGAAGTAGAAACATTTTTTACAGAATTTCACAAGAAAGTAAAGAACTAGAAGAAGGAATGGTTATGAAACAATCAAGGGTTCAATCCACTGCTACAGATACCAGTACTTGCATGGACAAGTTTTTCATGTTGAAACTGACGATACTGGAAAGTGGGTCAAAATGTATGACAAACTTTTCTGAATTTTTGATAAATGATAAGTCACAGTTGACATAACGAGAATATAGCCAAGCTATATATTTGCCTAAATTGAAAGTACAGGTTCCATAAGCCGAGACAATAGTTCATAGGGAAATCAGATTTATGAATTTTGTAAAGAGCACAAATTTGTGGAGTTCTTAAATCAGTTGGTCTGAGAAAGGTATACAGATCATTTTCAAGAAGCTCCTTTATTTTTTAGCCATAGTAGAAAAGAACAGTTTCTTTTCTCAGGTAGCTGTTAAGTTTGTGTTCAATAAGAAGAAATGAGTCTTGTCTTATGAGCATTAATGACATAATCAGAACGACCCATGATTACAATGAAGTTGCCATTATCCACTTTTAACCAAGTTATGTTATTCCTTTATAAAAATTTCAATGCTTTAATATAAGGTTCCAGGTTAAGTTTAATTTGTTCAATTTATTTATTTCGGTTTAAGCATTAATAGAAAAATCTTATCTGGAGAAATATGTGGGAAGAAAACTTCAGGATTTTTTTAGAATGTTAGATATTTCAATGGAACTAGATGGAGAAGTGACGTTATCAGTGCCATTTGGCTCATAAGAGATCTGTGGATAAATCTTGGTTTTAATGTTATCTTGGATTGCAGCTTTTTTTTTTGGCGAGATTTCTAAATTTATTTTTAGTTCTAAAAGGGGAAACTGTTTTGGAGTAACAACAAGCTTAAACTTTTTTTTTCTAACAGCCTCAAATTCATCCCTGGAAAGTTTAAATTTAGAAACATTAACAACGACTTGATTTTTACCAGAGTTCTGTTGCCATTGATTTACTGAAGACCTGAATTCTTGGAACTAGTTTTTTTTTTTAGGAACTGGAACTTCTTCCTATGACATGTGGTGATAGTATGATTTAAGTTATTGGTAGTCTGTTCAACCAAGTGAGTAACACTGTTGAGATCTATGGGAGACAACGTAGAATTGTGTGTGGAATACAGTTGTAATGAAACTTGTGCTAGTTGTGAGAAAGAAGTATATTTGACATGAATGTTTTCATATAATAATTTAAATTGCATGATGTTAATAATCTTATGAGAATGGTTGTTAGGAGGCGTTAATGTGCAGTTTAGGATTTGTGGGAATAGGTTATTATTATAACATTACAACGTGCCACACTGTCGTGAAGAAGAACACCTTTCCGATTGACGAGCGAAGTGCGTTTCTGTTGCTGACTATAGATCTCTGCATCGACAATACGCTGTGGATTGTGGAGTTTGAAATGAATTACTCCTTTGATGTCCACCAAATGCAAAGCATCATTTTCTGTGGCTGCAGTCCAGGTTTTGGGGTTGGAAGTGGTTTTTGTCTAGAACTGAGCCATTGTTTTTGGCATTTAATATCCCCCCCAAAAAAAAAGGTTTACGCGCCAGAAGAGTCAAAGCAACATTCACACGTTGGAAACGATGAATAAACTTCTTTGATATTCTTTGTGGCTACAGAGGCATTGTTTCCCTTCTTGTATTCAAACACCATTACATGCTGAATGTGTGTCTCATCGTGTGTCATCACGATAAGGGATTAGAGTATACTAAACTTTACACAGTATATAGGCTACACGAACATAACGTTTAGGCGGTTCATTTGACTATAATACATGATGTACATTTTTAGGGGTTGGTTAATGAAAGTGTTCAAAAACGCGACACTAATTTTTTGACGGCCTAATAGATCTGAATGGTTTATAGAAGATGTGAAGGGTTACCATTAAATGATTAATTTGGCTTTGCCTTTTTTATTTGTTTATTCCGATGGGTGTAGGGGTGATCTCAATAACATGAATGACTTTTGTACTTCGTCTTTTTTCACCGATATAATTTAGGGTTAACACTGACAATTTAGTTACCTTGCTGTAAGCCTACTTGTCCTCTTTCTGGCTGAGGCTGAGCTCGAATTTCTTGTTCATTAATTCTAGGCGCTTGGTTCTGAAAAGGTAAATCGTCAGCTTGTTGAGCATTTACATTTTGTAGATCTGTGTTACCAAGATTATGTTGAGTAGGAAAAACAGGAGAAGGAAAATTTCTGTTTACGTCGCCTGTTCCAGTGTTCGTATTTTGATAATGATAAGCAGATTGAAGAAGAAAATAAGGAAAATAGGCTAAAAAACACTGCCGGTAATAACATTGCCAAAGCCATTGATTTACTGTTGAAGCATATTCACTTGCTGTTTTATAAGTAACGTTTTCATTCACATAATTAGTAGTACTATTATTAATTTGGTTGGCCGTTCGCCCTTCGGAACGAATACCATTTCGATTTCGTGAGTTTTCCACATCCACCATTTTGTGTAAGAATAGTTTATTGACAGAAAATGTCATAAGTTACAAAATCTCAAATCAACTATTGACACGATACACGTATACAATGTGTTGTAGTCGAGGAAAAAGTGATAATGAAAAACGTATTTTAACATATGCGTCATTAAGCAATTAGTTTAGACGAAGATATAACAGTTATTCTATTACCCATATTGTGAAGGAGCGTTCAGACAAATATAGCAGAATTTTGTCTTTTGTTTAGAGCGGAAAATCTTACACCTTATAATGGTAAAATTAGGATTTCGATTTCCCTGTAAAGAAGCACGTAGTGTATATTTGTATTTAGTAACAGACAAATTCTTATTTGTGATAAAAGTTTAGATAAACGACCTTTACACTCCAGATGTATATATATTTGTTTTTATTTAATATATATATATATAAGAGGAAGTTTGTTTATTTGTTTATTTTGTTCTCTATAGAAAACCAAACGGTTGAACTTCCAAATTTTAAAATAACTTCATAATAACCTAGTTTTTTACAAGAAATTTAATGGTGCTATTTATTTTGTATTTGGTGTAGTATTTAATGACGAAATTGGCAATTAATGATTATTGCGCCATTTTTTTTAATACATTTTTTTGTAATAAACATACAAACATGAGCACGTTTTGCACATAGAAAGCGTTATGGCGGGAGACACTCAGATCACCTTGCTGTCAATTCAGTATTTCCAAAAACAGTTTTCTTTAAATAGTACTAAATGGTTTCATAAGTGATTTAGTAACTTTGTGAATTGCAAACTATTGTTTAGTGATACAGGTGATTATGCCACCCAAGAAACGCCCTTTCTATGGAAAGTCTTCTGCCGCTAAAAGAATGCAAGCACAAAGAGCAGCTGAAAGAGAAGAAGAACGCAATCAAAGACTTCAAGCACAAGCTGCAAGACAGGCTGCACAAATACAGGAAGATACTTTGGAACAACGTAAAGCTAGACTTCGAGCTCAAGCTGAAAGGCAGGCTACTCAAAGACAGCAAGAAACTGTTGAACAGCACAAAGCCAGAGTTCAGTCAGAATCATCAAGGCAAGCTGGATATAGACAACAAGAAACTTCTGAACAACGTCAAACCATACTTCAAGCACAAAAATTAAGACAAATAGCTTACAGAGAGCAAGAAACAGAGGAGTAACATGATGTACGACTTCAGGATCAAAGAACAAGACAAGTTCAAACACGATCTAATTTCAAATAAAGTTTTGTTTGATTAATTGCTTTTTTATTTCTCGCATCACAGGTTTTGTCTACTTACTGAATAATTTGCTGAAAAAAATACTGATCTATACATTTCAAATCTAAATTTTCACTGTGCAACGCCGGGTAACTCTGCTAGTATAAATATAAAAGATGTATGCTAGTGTTATATAATTTTTGGAAGGCTTCAATAAATATGAGTTATAACTCTACAAGTATGACATGAACTAGAATGAATTATTTACAAGATGCTTCTTTGTAAACTGTGTAAGAGGCATGTTATCAAATATTAAAATGTGTACATGCTCCTACTACTTTTTTTGTACATAACTGCCTGGTTTAATTTTTAATTCTACCAGAAATGATAAACCTCATTTTTCTCAGAGGAATACTTCTTTTCGTATCGGATAAAATAATGAATTAGTACGTAGGTATTGGTAATAAATATATAAAGAGATAGCCTGTCGCTCTATCTTCCTACCTATCGATTTCTAAATTGCTCATCAAATATCCATGCTTTCAATATTAAAGTTTTTTAGCAGCAAAATATCATTAACTGTTTTAAATATGTTTGGAGAATTATTAACACCATGAAGAGTATACAAGCTCATTGGGAAAACTCGGATAACTATTCAGTCATAACCATTTCTGAAGGGAAAACTAAAATAATTATTCTAATATAACTGTGAATTGAAAAAAAAATCAATCAAATTACACGTTGAGAGAGAGAGAGAGTTGTGACAATTGTTGAAATACACAAGCTAGATGATTTGTTAGAGTTTGGTTTGAATTTCGCTCAAAGCTACACGAGAGCAATCTGCGCTAGCCGTCCCTAATTTAGCAGTGAAAGACTAGATAGAGTTAATGCAGCTAGTCATACTACCCACCACCAACTCCTGGGCTACTCTTTTACCAAGCAATTGTTATCGATATTGATATTAAAAGGTATTGTTGGAATATTGTATTTACTGTATTTTTATTGGACATCGTTTTTCTTCTTTCTGATTCTTTTTCCTGATTCCGTTATTATTGATTTATTAATATTTATGATAAATTGTTTATTAATATTGGTGTGAAGTCCTGGCCAGGCACTCGTTCATTAACTGTGGTTTGGTAAGTGTTGAATTTATTTCTAAGTGTTGTTATTGTTGATAAATTATTTTTGTGGTTGAACCCTGATTGTAGCGTCGTATTCATTTTAGATCATTACAAGATAATATATATGTCTAAGAATAACTTGAACAAATTCTGAAATGTCTATCATTACTATAATATGTTAAAGTTTTAGTTTATTGACTGTATTCGATAGAAAATAGTGTTTCTTTTTTATTTCCTGTGTGTGTGTGTTGTTCATGTTATCAATATTAGTCTGTTATTCACATGCACGAACTAATGACCACAACGAATAATATCCTGTTTACATCTGGATTTAAATTTCTCTTTTGATGTTGAGTACTTACACAATTTTGCTGCAATACGTTTCGTATCTAAATTATATAGTTATTATCTAATGAAGCCAGAGAAAGTACTGTTTTTACTCGTTCCTATTGGTCTGTTAGAAGTTATGCCATTTGGGAATAGACTATAACACTAAATTACATTCTCCTAACTGTAAATTTGTTTCCAAAAATAATCCTTATAAACGGTAACAGAGTATTTTATTTTCTTGAAAAAAACATGAAGTATGTGTATTATTACATCCATTACTACTTGCGACAACAAACATAGAATGACTTGCCTACTTAACCCTGTAGGCCAATCGCGTATGCCCTCTTTAGGTTGCTATGGGAACGTAGAGGAAGGCTTCTTAGCTCTTACAATGATGATGACACGAACGCTTTCTTGCAATGCCTTATAACTTTAATTTTATATTAAGTGATATGCTAAAGCGGTATAGAGCATTGTCGTTAGTGAAAACAGTAGGCAGCCTTGGAAAATCACGTGCTCTGTGGTAAGCCTAAACTTCATGTACCTTTCTAGAGAACGAAACTCATCATAAAATATCTAGGTATTGTTTAATATTAACAAGTAAACTCTCAGTTTTGTTATTTATTTTAGTTTGAATATAAATCTTAGATAAGGTAAAGCTTTTGTTGTGATAATGGTATTGCAACTAACAAAATGAACATCTGATGATTTTTTCATCCAAGAATTTTAATCATTCTTAATAGCCTTACAGGCCCGGCATGGCCAGGTGGTTAGGGCGCTCGTCTCGTAATCTGAGGGTCGCGGGTTCGAATCCCCGTCATACCAAACATGCCAACCTCCGCCATTTCCTGGTCCCAAGTCCAGGTTGAGAAAGGAGGAGGGTTGGGCGTGGGGTTAGCAACTCCATCCCGTAAAAAACCAACCTGCTACAAGTAACTGCAACAACAACTTCCGTTGGCGAGGTGTTGTTGCGGCTCTATGCTCCACTGGGAGTTTACAGGAATAAAAAAAAATAGCCTTACAGAATGTTTTAAGTTAGAAGGCATACAACTTTTTCAACAGCGTCATTTTTTTGGAAGAAGACAACCTTGAAAGAGTTTTCATTTGAAATAGGACAACCAGCTTTGTTAGTTTTACTTAAAAACGACAACCTTTTCAGGACTGTCAATGCTATATGTTTCTTTTTTGTTGTTAAGAAAAAACTTATACAACATAGCGACATGGGATTGAAATAAGTTTTCTTACATTGTATATTTTGTATGCACAGCAATAAGCTCATAAGACTATCATATTTTGCTTAAAGATACAGTTTGATGATAACATTCTCTCGTCTATATTGTCATATTAGAATTAGATATATGTTGTTTTTTTTTGTTGAATCACTTATTAATAGCATTATTATTAATTTTAATCTTCCTTTCGTTATTTACACTTTATATTTACGTGATGCTAACTGGATCGTAGTACACATACTTACAAATAAATAACACAATCGTGAACTCCAGAGAATCTTATAAGTTGACTTATGTGCTTAACATTTCGGGATTTACGCTTTTATCAGGAACATCCAATTTGTGTGACGAACTCAAATTCAGAACGTATTTGTAAGATTCTCTGGAAGTTTACACACTTGTATTGTCATTATTACCACTCATTCGATACTGTTTATTTAGTAATTATCACTATATGTATATATATATACACACTTATTGCGTTATTATGTCGTTAGCATACAGAGGCGAACACTTGTATCGTTATCGTTAGCACGCCTACAATGTTGTTGTTATGAATGACGTATGCTTCTACTGCTATAGTTAATAGATAGAAGGTGGTTTTGTTCGATTGATGTCACAATTTTATTATGTAACAAAGGATGATCTATATTTTAATTGGGTGCGATGTTTTGTATCGACGAATATCACTCTTCTGCTGAGCCAAATCTGAAAGTAAAGCTCTTAGAATAATAAATAATACTGAATAAATAAACAATTGGTAATATATAAATAATGCTATGTTGGCATTATACATTGACGTGTTTTTGTATTGTTCTTGGAACGCAAACTAGACTATTTTTTGTTTTTTGTGCGATTTCGTTTTTGTACGATAGTAAAAACTAATCTATGCTTATACTATGTCGCTGTTGTGAAAGAAATTGTTATAAACAATATGCAATAGAAAATATTTATTACCGTTAATAGAGTATATAATAACTTATCTCTTAATACACGTATTACTAACCATTCCACAAAATAAGTGCTGTGATGTAATCTAATAAAAAAATCGTAGCTTTGTGTTTCAAATAACAAGAGGATATCGTTGTCATCGAACCATCAAAAGATTTATTTGTTAA